TTCATCCATTAAATTTATATGTATAATTATTTTTTCCAAATAGCTTGACAGATCAAATTAGGCAAGAATATATTTTATGCATGCGGGCAGGCACTATGTCTGATTTTTAAACTAGCAGATTAAAAAGCGTAACCCAGAAATATATGGTTATAATGAATGAAATGTTTTTTGATTTATGCACATGTTGATCGTGAAAGCAAATGTCCATCATGCCAGGGATTTTTGATGCATCAGAAAGTAAACGTAACGTGCTGGTTAGGAAACATTTATGGTGATAGCAACGCAAGAACCAAGAAGCTGTGAATTTGAACCGTACTGAATAAATATGTGACTTTTCTGTACGACCGATATGTCGTAGATTGAAAGATAAAACATATAAACAATTTATAGAAACATACGAAACGAGAAATTCCCTGGACGATTCCATGCATTTTAAAAAACCTTCGACATGTATTTGACCATTTTAAGTAACTTATGAAAGTATTTAGGATGACAGTGTGGTAAATAGGATAAATTGTATGCAGTCGCAGCTCAGCTTAGGTGATCCAGCCGCAGATAAATAAGACCGAACAGGAGGCCACAAGACCATATCTGGCACTTGCTATACGGCACAGCCGTCGTATCAGCATTTTGAGTGTCCTCATTTTATTTGAATTTTTAGATAGAACCATTATTTCAGTAACTAATGGATTGATATTGATAATGGAATATTCCTCGCAATTCTGGCATTTTACGATTCTGTACTTGTTGGTTGGATCCGTGTTGAACTATTAATTTTAACGGCCCGGTTTTCCCGAAGACAATGGTCAATATAGGACCAACGTACATTGCCAGTATCCAACGCTTTTATATCATGTTTTGGCGGTGTTGCGGCATATACTTAACCTTTCAAAGGTCATTTCCTTTCTGTTTTTCTTGTGCATGGCGTTAGCCGTACATCGTCGGATTCGCAAACTGGGCGATTACTGCATTGCCAGTGATAAATTTCGGTATCCAATTATGGAGGCGTATGACAACAGAGCATGGCTTTCTCATAAAAGTTTGGCAAACCAGTTAAATATTAATTCACTACATTTGTCGCACCTGAGTTCAGAATCACTGATGCAATTTCGGAAAGATGATTCTGCAATAGCTAGCCGGATTTCTATTGTACCAAAGAGTATATATGCGGATTCTGGCTAAGAAGAACAGAAATATGTCTAAGACAAAACATAATTCGCATAGTAATTTTGTTGCATCGGGGGAGATATAATAAATCCGCAACATCCAGGTGCAAATACTCCGTCTGCGATCATTCGCAAGCTAGTCCGTTTTAGACTACTCTAGATTTAATAATAGTATACACATGCAACGCGTAACATAATACCGCCTCGCTCTATAAGAATCCGGCAAAAGTGGGGATAACTCGGCTTCAGCAAGAAACGACCTCATACACTGTCTGGCATTACTATTCAAGGAAAGGATTTTAACTACACGGAGACCCCATATTAATGTTACTGGTATTATCTGCCCTCGCTTACTTCTGTCAAATTTTACTCTAATAGCGCAGGTTTGATTACTTTTCATTCTGCAGACTAAAGCAAATGTGACAGAATTTATAATCTACGTCTCTTTCGCATCGTCACAGTTTAGGGATTTAACATAGCCTAAAACCTCTCCACTGTGGGCACTGTATCTGGAAAACTGACACAAACGAGCATGCAACGTCAGCTTGTGTTGTGACAGAACGCTCAAATTAAGTTAAAAACTGTTTTGGTTATTTAATCCGTCGGCTTAGATTGAAACAAGCTTCAGTCGAATTCAACTCCTCTGCTTCGATACTTGGAGAAAAGTTGTATCTATCCTTTGTTATCACAAATTTTGCATTCAATGCCACGGATTAACCAGTAATTACTCACGCCACCTCTTGTTGCTCCGGCATTGTAAGTCCTCTCGTGGGCACGTACAATTACAAATGCGCATAATGCGAAACAAGGAACAATTCAACATTCACATCACATTTGCTTTTGTAGATTAATCTGTAGATAGGAGCCAAAAGTATGAAGTATGTAATAAACGCGTGTGAGCATGAGTAATGTGCCACATCTTGTTTAAATGCACGCATACATTAACACTCGTCGGAATCGGATTCACCCACATAAACTTTATCTGAGCGTGCCTATTGATATTTTTTAAATCAGATTACGCCTGTGGGTAAAGAAAGTCAAATATCGTAAAAATCCAAGATAAAGGTAAATTCGAGGAAATGAATTACCATATGTCGCAGGTTACTGAAATAAATGACATGAGAGAAGTTCAATAAAGCTGATTTAAACCATTTGAGAACCAAATGTTTTGCACAAAATGAAAACCAACGAGAGCACATTAATCATAAAAATTGATGAAAACAAATCGGTTGTGCTCTAAACACGAGCTAATATTGCACATACCGAATGTTAAACGGCCACGAATATAGCAGGTTAGAAAGGTTGACTGTGATAAACGGAGCACCTATATAATTAGGATCAGTAAGCTTTAGCTCCCTGAGCTCCACAATTAAAGCGCATCAGTTATGACCAAAAAGTTACTACCGAACGTTTACTCATTCAGAAATTTAGAAAAATGGTCTCACGCCACAAACAAGCAGGCAAGTGTGAAATTATCCTGCAAATGCACCGATTCATCGCTGAACTCAAGCCGACGCATTGGATGCGGAGAACGCAGAATGAAGAAACAGGATTAGGAATGAATTCTAAAGAAAAAAGGTAGAAAATTAGGTGTCGACCGACCAAAACACTGCAAAAGCAAATCGCATTTCCATGTTATTTCCTCTTATCAAGTAAGGATGGCAGACCCCAAACCCGTGTCTCAATCCAATCACACAACGTTAGTCCAAAATCAACCCACTACTAAAGCAAAAGAGCTCGTCAAAAGTCTCAATCGAAGGACCAAACACTGCTTTTCATTGAGCACTGCATTGACAGACAAGAAAAGCCACTCATTCCAAGACCCAGTCGTCATCTGTGAATCAGTTAGCGCGTTATTTCCCACCATCCATTAACCTGAAAACTGACCGTATAAAGACGCTGTTACATAAATGACTAAGGTTCAGTCTAGAAATGCTTTGTATCTTCGCAATATCTACTATGCAATTAATTTTATTAGACCGCCCTCCAATATGGAAGCTGATGAATTCACCCGCCTCCACCATAAAATTGGGACAGCCAGATATGTCATCGCTCCTTTTGCATTATTTTACTAACTCACTTTGAGCAACCCGCTTTATAGATAAAGGGAAAACTTTGTTTATCATGCTTTGAAACAAAGGCTGCTTAAAACGGAAGATTGGGAGCCACAGGTCCATCTGTCACACCCCTCCATTCTTCAGATTAACCGAAAAATGGTTTAAAAATGTTGTGATGAATTTCATCAACTCACTGCAGTTGACAGACAAGTCTTGCTTTTGCTATACAAGCAATCGTGCACAATCTTCTAGTTTTATGATTTGAATCACATATCAGAATAAAATGAATCAAAAGTACGATGTCAATTATATTACTGATTTGCAGACAGCTCCTGTTTGGGTGCCTCACGGACGGGTACTGATAAACATTGCTTTCATTGGAGTCCAGGACACCCGACTCTGTTGGTTATATTCATAAATGAACGGTCACTCTCAAATAGTCACATTACAATTACCAGCGTGGATGTACAAGACAGTGTGGTCGGTCTATTTCTTTCTCTTCTTCATATTAACGACATCAGTTTGGTTACCAAACATAGCGTTCTGAACCTAGTTTGGAGCTGGGTCGGTTGTATGTGGTACCCCGTTGCCTTGCAGCATTGAAACCCATTCACGAGACATTTGTACGCGATATTTGCCGGGGAACGGTCCGAGGTAAGCCACAGTACCGGCTGAGCACAACGCATTTCCCACAAGATTTTGCAGTAAATGATCAAACTTGACCACCGCTTCTTGCCATCGCAGTTTTTCACTGCCTAGTCCCCCAATTAACTTGTCCGCACGAACCAGTCGGGCTTCGCACAACTGACTCTTTTCCTCCAACTCACGCTGACGGCGAATACATTCATCGTATTTGCTTTGTAGACTGGCAATACGCTCTTCGCAAGCCACCAGGCGATTTCGGGCTTCCTGCAATATTTTCTCCGTCTCTTCGAGCTCCAGCTCGGAGGCATGCAGAGCCTGACGTTTGGGAGCCACATTCTTCGAAACATGATGGTATTTGTACATAGCGCGGACCCAAAGACATATACTTGTACAGGCCTTACTGACTTTTGAAATCTCCGCTGGTGTAAAGCTTTCAGAATCAATATAGGGTTTAATTTTGCTAATTATGCTGTCCGGAATGTTATCTCTGTCGAATTTGAGTAACGAGTCTAAAAATGTGCCTGGATCTTGGAGCAGTGTTTTTCCTGGTTCCCAGTAATCGTCAATCTTGACACCCGGCTTATCGCCAGCCACTTTCTTTGGTTTCACATCTTTCATGATACAAACTGTCTCAATGACGAGACGCACACCTTCCGGTGGTCACATCATGGCACGTACCTCCGTGATATCGTTTTTATTCAATGCCTTCAAGGCCTCTGGAGATTCTTACAAAGCGGGCATCGCTTCATCCAGATCGCGTTGAGCATCATCACGTATTATTTCGCATTATTTGGCTTTCTTCGTTGCTTGTTGCTCCTCAAGCAACATCACTTTCTGTGTCTCTTCGGCAATCTTGGAATCACGCACTATCTCTTCCATGGTCACTTTGGATTCTTCCACAGCTTTCTCCAGCACTGGTTTAATCAACTCCAGCTCTTCATGCAACTTTGAGACCACTTCCTCGGTGGAAAGAAGTTTGTCCAAACCGGTCTTCGTTCTGTTTCGAGCGGCGATCACTTCTTGCTTCTTCATTCGGTAGATTTTGGAAAACACGCCTAACAATTCTAAGAAACTGGTCGGAGTGACGTAATTGTGTCGGTTCAACTCTTGTTTCATAAGTTCGGTTGGTGCATCACAGATTGATGCAGATCGATGCACGTCTTCACCAACGCTTCAAGCACACTTTCATGCACATCCAAATCGGTCATTTGGCGCAGTTTACGGAGTGCAACAGACTCCAGTGCCTCTGAAGGCCATTCACTAAACCAGTCGATTGTGCAGCAATTGACTAGCGCGGGGAATTGTCGCAGACGAGCACGGAATAACTCACCAAGCGGGCTCATGCTGATTACGGTGTGGAGATTGTCACGAACTCTCTTAGTGTAACAGTTGAATAGATTGGATTTTGTTGGTTGTAATCCTCGCTCACTGATTATTAACTTCATGGCGTCATAGATTTTGTTAAGGTCGTCGAGACTGTAAATATTGGGCACATCACCAGCATTCAGGATGTTGTTGATGTCTTCCAGGAATGATTCCGATTTGATCTGAGTATCCGAGAATAAGAAGATCACTGGATTGTCATCTATACCAGCAGTGAGCATAATCTTCTTCAAAACTTCGCGCCACGCTGTGAACCCATAGGTTTTGGACAATTCGATCTGAAAGCACTCGTACTCGGCCATGTGTGCTGCCAATCGAGTCAGGCTCTGACGACCACTGCCGCTCATGCCCAACAGAAGAGCTTTGCCCTGAGGTTGTCGAATGATACGCGCGATGCGACAAATGTGTTCCACCGCGTACATGAAGAGAACCAGATTAATTTTGGCCGTGTTGACTTGGTTGTTATCTTCCAGATTTTCTTCCATCACTTGCAGCACCTGCGAGTGATCTGTCATTTCGATGTATTTCCACACATCACTTGCAGCAGCGGTTAAGAAATCACCGTACAGCAGTGGTTCAGACTTAACGTAATCAGTTATGGTTTGTTGGAATGCCTCCTTGGATTTGGTGCTGATCAAATCACGGAACCAGCCACGGTCCGCCTCGTTGACAAGGCGATCTTGGAACACTCGAGACGACTCATGGAACCACAAACGAAGCAGCTGCTCCAGACTACCAGTCAAACTGCCAGGTTCTACCATTAGCATGCCTTGGAACACTTTTGACAGGTCTCGCATGTTAAAGGTGTAGTGACTCTTGGCCGGGGTTGGTAGAAGTTGCGATGGAATCGTTGTGTATACTTGGATGGAAGCGTGTACAAGAGCATTCGCGTGCTGCTGGAGCTTTGCGGCAGGTTTGTCTGAGCCTGATCGAGACAGCCATGATTTGAGCACCACACCGAAGATGGTTCGCATACTTTGTTCATCCAGTTCATTGGAAGCCAAAAAGTTAATGTGCCTCGTTAGGCGCGGCGTAACCGGGTTGCGTCCACCACCAGGTGGACCCATGGCACCGATAAAGTTCACATCAACAAGCTTGCGGAACTCTCCGATGTTCTTCTAGTCGTACCATCCGCCGAAGTTCATCCACTGACGAATCAGCTCGATTGGGGGCTGAGCGCCGAAAACATCAAGAGCAGGCATGTTCAGATCATCAATGAAAAACACCAGAAACCGGCCCATCGGCGATCCGTACACTTGCTTTCGCCGTTTGTCCAGCTTGCTGTCGATCAGCTCTTGAGTCTGGCGTGCGGTGGTTTTCGCACTGAAGACAAGGCATTCTGGTAAGTATTCTTTTGGCATGTTACGTGTGAGCTTGTGCATAATTGTCATCGTTTTTCCCGTCCTGGTGGGGCCGATACAGAGAACAGGTTTCTTCTCCAGCAACAGGCATTTCAATCAGATGTTCACAACGCACCGTATCCACGGTGGCACAATGATATCGGAATAACGCACATCCGGTGGAATAGTCACTTCGGGAACGTTGTGCATCCAATGCACCCAGCACATCTTTCTCTCCGCATCCTCGTCGTCATCGTCTCAGGTGTTCCCTTGCAATATTTGTTAACACGTTTTCAATAATTTCCAATGAATTGACCTACAGAATTTACTACTATTCATCCAAGATGGCATTCTTTCACTTGAGACACAGTGTATCAAGTGTCTATTGAATTTCTCAGCACAATGTTAAGCATCACTTCTCACGGTGTTGGATACCCGAGGCGTCTCTCACAATTAACACCGAATGCATTTGTGTAAAACAGTTTATGCGCGACTTTCCTAAGCGGTTTGTGTATCAGGTAGTATGAGTCAGGAAGTCCGTGGCTAATATACCTCATAAGGTTTATACAACCTCAGGCAGTGTTGAAATTTTTAAAATCCCCACTCGTCCCATCCTGAAGTATTGAAGTATAATCCGTGGAAACGTGAGTCAATCTGACAGAATAGCATAGATTACATTCAACGGCCAAGAGCTAAACAACAACTAAACAAATATTCTACTAAGTATTATCGAGAGCTGTAACAATAAATAGATTTTAATCCGCTTTGGCTGCGAAGGCTAAAGTACAGCGGGATGGTATTGTACAATGGGATTCATGGTAATGCATATTGCAATCTACCTAATCTTCCCCCCGGGACATAGGTAACAAGGAGTATATCATGGTTATACAACAGGGCAACAAACATTTGCGGTTCACATTCTGTTTAACTCGATATGCTTCCTTGTGAACTCGGCTCCCAATCACAGTCAGATGGTGTGAGACTGCAATCATTTCACAGTAAGCTGGGAGGTTAGTTCAACCAGGACATCATAATGTCAATTTGCTCGTGAGGAGGATTACTTGACAAGCTACTAAATGAAGGGCCAGACAGCATTTACTGAGTGCAACACAACAATATTAAGTTATGTAATCCCTCTTTAGTGTTTGCAAAATACCTTGACTACAAAAGTACCTCGTACCTTAGCATAAAGCACAAACACTTGCAGCAGTTACCTTGAAGAAAATACATTGAAGGGAATATAAGAACATAGTTTTATATTGTCCAACAAGGGCAGAAGATAACCTGCACATCTAAAATCTGTGCAAATTAGGAACAGAATTAATAATTTGATGAGAATTATACCTATTATTATATTAGGATTATGAAATCTAAGGAATATATTTAAAATTCCTGCATTTTATGAAATAACACGATACCGAAAAATTACTATAGGAAAATTGAAAATTTGTTGTATCATATTGTAAAAGCAGGTTGGTTCATGCAAACGTCAATTATGTACCGCCAACCTGTCACTTGAAAGCAGTTAAATAGAATCGTTTAAAACTAAGGCAGGGTCTGAAATCAAGTTAGGAATTTTGCACTCATTAGATTAATTGGCTGGTCGTATTATGGCTGGCGATTTCAATATATATTACTGACGTCCTAGTGTTATGAGATATCGGTACAATTCTCTAATAACAGCAATTTCAGAGTGCAATTTCCTCAAATAGTTAGCCTCTATTTAGGCAATTGAGGCCCGTTGAAGTCCAAATTGTAAAGATATCGCCCTTCCTTAGTATTCTTAAAGCATATAATGAAAGTAAGTGCCTCAGGTTTTTGCGCTCTTAATGATGATTTTGTGATTTCACCATTAAGCAAAGGATCAAAATACCATTAGTTACAAAAGAGTAATTTTTATTGTACGATGGACCGGTTCGTGCTAACAGCGGTAGCATATAAACTGGACGAGCGCAGATTTGTTCACAGTCCCTCTTGGATACCATTACCTCTAAAACCAGGGACTGAACAATTTACATACATTATCTAAGGAACGTGACTTCATTGGGGAGATACAGTACTATTGCAATGATCTTCTCTGAAGTCGCCAATTGCATAGCAAAATCGGTAGCCTGTACGTATCACTTACCTCCACGAAACTCAGTGACTTCAAACTATTTAATCGCGGCATTCCGGGGAGCAAAAGATATGCTTATCATATGCACTTCCGCCATACGGCGTGTCATTTTATATTTTACTTTTGTGAAAGCTACTGTTTGGCATGTTACACAGATACAACGTTTAGAGAAATCACCGCGAAACCTACTTCAAAAGGTTCTGTAACCTTGAATACGTGTTGTGAAACCACTGTTTTAGTTGTGCACCGTAGCTTTGATGGTTTGCAGCCAGACAATAAATAATCTGGAGACTTGGCACGTAGAGCCAAGAGAACTACCTCTATATCATTGTTGCTTATGTGTTGTAGTCCAGTTTCATCCGGTTGTGCGAACGTACTGAGCATTTGAGCATTGGTTGCAGCGACATGTATTCCACCAAAAAATAGACTTAGGTTGGTTTCCAACTTAGTCAGCTATGTTATTCTGTAACGAAAACTGTACTTGTATTAGTGTATTTAAGCAGCTGCTTCCTCAGGCTAATCACTGACACCCAGTTTGTCAAATGGAACTTTAAATCGAATGCAAATGGATATTTAGTAGATATGTTTGCTTCTTGAATATCTCCTTATCGCATGGATGACAAAGTCTGATTTCTGTTTTGTTTACTTTAACTCAGCAGTGTGTATACAAATATTGATTTCTATACAAACATTAGTCAGTCTTGTTTGTCCTTGTTGTCTTTGCACTGGATGCATCGAAATACATGAGCTTATTAATTCCTTAAATTCCCAAACTATTAATCTGGAAACGTCAGCGTTCAGCAAATGTTTATGAAATTTTGGTCAACCGGCTCTAACAGCAAATACTTGGACTGTGACGGATGTAAAGAATATTACATTGTATAGTGATCAACACCGAGTAATTTAACAGCCACATACATATGGACTTTCACGGATTTTATGTTAACATTGCCACCTCAATTCTTGTTAAGCAAAGATGCCACGAATTTCAGCATTAGTTCCAATAGTATAAACATTATTAAATGCAAATTACAGGAGTGTTCTGGATGACTCGCATAAATGGGCTTGTTGAAAGCAATTAATTTATAAACGCTTTCGCTATTTTCTGTTACTATCGCATAAACTTATTTGGGCACTTGCTAATCGGCCATCTCTCCGGTGCAACCGCTTTGTTAGTTTTTCCGCCATTTCTCTGTCGGCGATATTGTAGCATATTTATGTTGCACACATAGAGAGCATTTTCCAGCTGTTTGAAAGCACGCCCAGAAATCACAGGAAGAAGGAATGGAGTGTCCGGTGTTGGTCGCAAGAACCAAAAAGTGCTTATCAGCATTCGAAGTACATAAGTCGTAAGGCTAGTCTACGAACGCTCTTGCGGAGATGCGGAGAATATTGTTAAATGCCCATTTATCACAGCATCTTTCATTGCTGAGTGCCATAGCGTCTAGCATTTTACATGCTAAAACGTTGCAAGTTAACAGACCTGCCGTTGTATTATTGTCTGAAATGAGGGAATTAGCATTAATGATTGGATATATCATACATGTTTCGGTGGGATAGAAAGAGTTTCGGCTGATAGAATAATATAGCTTTAAATCGTTTAGTGTATTGCCAAAAGCAGATGTCCAACCAGAGAATGTTGGTGTTTTAGATTTGTGGCACACGGACAGGGAATAGCCTCGTTGGTATTTGGTAAAATACTAGCATTCAGTAGCAACTAGATCACTGTGTTCGATGCTGAATATGGCCTAATAATGCACGTATCGAATGTGTATATACTGTCATACCATCAAGAAATAGTCAGCCTTATTATAGGCATTTAGTCCTGTGTTTGAATACATATGGAACATAGGCTGTCTATTAATATTGTTCTTCTTGACGCACTAACCACACTGGACGGCTAAGATGTGAACGATTTTCGCTTTTTAACTTAAGTTTTTCTTAGGAACGTATTTTGTAAATTTACTCTATACCGTACAAATGCGAGAACATTATATATGATTAGAATTTACACCAAAGGCTAACCAAAGGAATGACCCAATCCTTCTTTCTCCTGTTATGTAGATGGTAAATACATCCGACATACATTTTGATAAGTGGCAATTAGTAGCAGTTTTTATGGACTTGGTTACGATGATTCCCTAGAAGGTTGAAGCCTTTTTGTGGAACTTATTCGGTTGTAGGAGCTTAAAGCATCCAGTCGTAAATACGGTATTGGATTTAAAAAGAATATAACTGATATTGACCAAGAAATGTCTGCACAGGGGAGTGAACAAGGAGCACTTAAACTCCGGCACCTTCAGGCGGCAGATAAACCGCCTACTAAATAAGTATTTTTACAAGACCTAGTAACAACACTGCAGTGTTTCTCTTGCATAAGGCCAAGTTTGCTTAGGATCCCAATTTAAATCTGAACTACTCAGGTAGATTTAAAATGCTCAATAAGGTGTGGAAACTAACGAATGTTGTAACCAGCCTAAATCATCAGTATTTTATGCCGGGTATCGGCAATACTCCGCGGCTATATGGGGTAATGAAAATGAAAAAGCGCACAAATCCACGTACAAAGAATCCATCAATGATGAATGCAGCGCAGCGTAATTGATTCGCGGGATAGTGAACATTATTTCGCCAAAGCAAATATTGACAAATGCATATATTCCTGGTGAGTCTATCAAATACCACTGTATAGGGTAATACCAAACTATCCGATTAAGTATATGCTGACTAAATTCCTGCTGCCTCCGATGTTCGGTTGAACACGTGAACCATTCAAACAAGCCTGCTATTCCTTATCTATTCCACTCGATTGCTGTGGTGTATTAAACATTTTAGGTACATCGTACGGTTACATTGATGGTGTTGCTCTTGTTGGCAAACGAGACCCTGTACTCACTAACTGCTT